AAAGGAGTTTAAGCACAGACTCTTCCCTCAAATACATATTGATGCATTATGAGCCAGTTGTCAACACTGAGATCAACACTGCCATGACCCTGGGGATATTCTAGTCTGATGGAGAAGGCAGTCTCATAAACAAGTAGAGTAGGGATTAGTAAGTATTGAGAATATGGCTCTAGAAGGTGTAATATGGACAACAGCTACACAGGTTCAGGGGGATTCTGAGAAGGCTTCACAGAGGAGGTGATATCTCAGCTGGGTCTCTTTTTTTTAATGTTTGTTTCTTTTAGTTGAACACAATACCTTTATTTATTTAGTTTTACACAGTGCTGAGGATTAAACCTAGGGCCTCACATGCACTAGGCAAGAGCTCTACCACTGAGCCACAACCCCAGCCCTCAGCTGGGTTTTTGACAGTGAGTAAGAGGTCAGCTAAAAGTTGAGGTGGGAAACATGTGCCAGCCGGAAGGAATAGCAAGAGTACAGGCATGAAGGAAACGCACTGAAACTCAGAGAAATGTTGAAAGCCGAGGAATGTCAGGCCAGAGGCGGCGCGCCAGGGTGTGTGGGCCAGTGGAGGAGAGAATGAAGCTGGAAGGGTAGGCAGAGCCTTTTCAGGAAAGGCCTGGAAATGATGAGTTTTAAGAGGAACCCTGTTTTTAACAGGTTTGCAACAGGGCCTTTGAGTGGCAGTAGTCAAGGGTGGTTGGGAGGAAGATGGGAGGTAGAGAGACTGGGTAAGGGTTGTGGCTGACTGCAGGACCTCCACACCGAGTCCTTTTCACAGCAGAGCATTTCTAGCCTTGCAGCTCTTTCTCCCACCACCCAACCCAGAGTGGCACTCCAGAGAGCCTGCTCTGTCCATGACCCAAGGGGGAGGGAAAGGACAAAAGGGGCAAGGCCAGGGAGGACTTGACAGCCCCCTATGGAAGCTGGACTTTCTTCTGATGGCAGTAGAGAACTAAGGAGGGATGTAACCAAATCAGGACTTTAAGGAGACCATCGTAGATGCCCTATGTCTCCCTTCATGGCCAGTTCCCCAGCTCTGCCACCCCGCCCCCAGGTAGTCTGGAATGGAGTCAAGGCAATCCTAACCCCAAAGACAGGACACTCACTCTTTTTTTTTTTTCTTTTTAATACCTTTATTTATTTTTATGTGGTGCTAAGGATCTAACCAGTGCCTTACACATGCTAGGCAAGTGCTCTACCACTGAGCCACCACCGCAGCCCCAAGGACACTCATACTTAAATCTAGGTAGAGTCTTGTAGGCAAGCGGTGGGTCACAAAGGCACTGCTGCTCCTGCACAAATTAGGCTAGCTCTGTCTCTGTCCCTGTATTGGAACCTCTGGGGCCTAAGGATCAGACAACATGAAATTTCTAAGTCATCCAGCTCAGACCTGGCAGAAACACATCCTCTGTAAGCTAGCTGTGACCCCAGGCAAGGAACTAACCTCTCTGAGCTTCCGTTTCCTCATTTCTGGAATAGCGACAGTGATGTGTGCCCCCAGGAACTATTGTGTACATTGGAATTTACCTGTGAGCTCCCTACAAACTGCTGCTGGAGTGGGGGTGGGTGAGAGAAGGGCCAGGGACGCCCAGCGGGGGAGGGAGTTGGCACAGAGCACAGTACTGGTCCCAGGCAATGGGGCCAACCTGGCACTGGGGCCTGGAAGTTGACCTGGCTGGTCACTGGCCTCAGCCTGCTACTTCTTGAACTCCTGTCCTTTCCCCAGGGGCCTAGCTGCCTACCAGGCTTTGCCGCTGCTGGTTCTTCTGCTGCCCTTCCCAGGCTCCCCCAGCTGGTGGAAGGCTGGAGGGTATCAGATGGGATGGGCACCTCTGGGAAAGGAGTTGACCCATGGAAATGCTGCTGGGAAGCAGAACTCAGTCCTTTTTTCTAGAACTCGGTCCTTCTTCCAGACCCTCACCAGGGTGTTGTGCCAGCCGTGGCCTAACCTGTGACACCCTTGCTCACAGGTAACCCCGCACGGCCCAGCCCAGAGCCCGAAGAGCCGCGGAGGCCGGGACCAGCGGAGCGCGGCAGCAGCTCCGGGACGCCCAAGCTGATCCAGCGGGCACTGTTGCGCGGCACCGCCTTGCTGGCCTCCCTGGGCCTCGGCCGAGACCTGCAGCCACCTGGGGGTCTGGGCCGCGAGCGCGGAGAGCCCCCAACAGCGACCCCTGTGCCGGTGACCTCACCGTGCCCCACAGAGCCTCCTGCCTCCCCGATCGGCTGCCTCTCTTCCAAGTCGCAGGATGCCCGAGGCCTTTCCACCCCTGGGCCCCTGCTGCTGGACTTGGGTGTCCCCACCGGCCAGCCGTCGGCCAAGAGTGCCCGGCGGGAGGAGACACGTGGTGAGTGGCCCTAGGGCAGATGCTGAGATGGCAGCCACCAGAGAGGGGAAGAACTGCTTGGGAACTTTCAGGAAACCAAGGCCAGGACCACAGATGTCTGCTGGAGCCCAAGCTGGTCCCTTAGGGCACTGGGGACACATGTAAAGAACTGAGTTGTAGGTTCAACTGTACGGTGGTCAGGGGCGAGATGGGCTGCCAGCTAGCTATAAAATAATAGAAGTGATGGTGACAAAGACAACTCCTACAGGTTGATTAATTGTGCCAGTTACTGTCCATGGTGGTCCTGTAGAGAAAAGGTCTCTAAAGATTGCCATGAGCACTTTATGGTACCCAGTTTTTAGATGATAAAATTTAAAGCACAGAGAGTCAGGGACTCTGGGCTCCCAGATTTGTAAGTGGCAGGGTTGGAATCTGCTCCATACCCCTGCTCTGAGCCACTTAGTAATAAACAGGTGCACTCTGGAATATAGGGCTGTGGAAGTTAGGAATCAAGTAGCTCACTGTGCAGTTTGAGAAAGGTGGTGACACCTTCGGGCCTTGGTTCCTCAAGCTGCAGTGAGCTATTAGCACCTAGGAGGTGGTGACTGCCTAACCCTGTGCTCTTCCTGCACCCTCATAGGAGGCACTGTCTCACCCCCACCAGGAATATCACGCTCTGCTCCCGGCACCCCGGGCACTCCACGCTCACCACCCCTGGGCCTCATCAGCCGACCTCGGCCCTCACCCCTTCGCAGCCGCATCGACCCGTGGAGCTTCGTGTCAGCTGGACCACGGCCTTCACCCTTGCCCTCACCACAGCCTGCGCCCAGACGGGCACCTTGGACCTTGTTCCCAGATTCAGATCCTTTCTGGGACTCCCCACCTGCCAACCCCTTCCGGGGAGGCCCCCAGGACTGCAGGGCGCAGACCAAAGACATGGGTGCCCAAGCCCCATGGGCACCAGAGGCCGGCCCTTGAGTGGGCCAGGCCGTCTTCTGTCCCACCTGCCATGGAGGAGCCGCAGCATACACTGGAACAGGAGCCAGGCACGCATCTGGAGCTGCTTGGTTTCCCCCAGAGACTCCGCCCCCTGTTGGGGGTCAGGAACACTACACTGCACAGGAAGCCATCACACTGGATGGGGGGCCTGCACCCCCCCAATTTACGACCTATAGGTCCCCTTGACTTATTTGCCCCACTGGGGCCTGACACTGTACCCAGCTGGTTGGGAGGACCAGAGCCTGTCTCAGGGAATTGCCCCCAGGGTGTAGGGAGGAGGGAGGTGCAGGGGAGGGGCCAGCCTCAGCTGTCACCAGCACTTTTGACCAAGTCCTGCTACTGTGGCCCCTGCCCCTAGGGCTTAGTGCCTGGGCCCCCTGCCCTGGGGGTCAGTGGGGCCGGGGCTCTCTGGGTGCCTTCCTGCTACCCCAGCCAGGGTGGGGGCCCTGGTCTCGGGATCCAATGAAGCCAAATAAACTTGTAAGCTGTCTCTCCAAATGCAGCCTGACACTTTTCTTGGAGGTAACCAGGAGACTCAAGCTATCCGAGGACCTTGGTGCCCTCATGCCCCTAGCACAGTGGGCAGATGGCCTGGACCTAGGCCAGGATACCTTGTACCATACCCCTGTCTTGAGACCTGCCCCAGCCCTCCTGACACCCACACATGCTGGCCTCGCCCACCTTCTCCCCACCCCTCCCAGACTTCTTCCACCCTGCACGTTTGCAGGTCATTCCACCATTCAAGCGACTGTTTGCCTTGATCCTCCCTGTTGCTGGGTGGTCTCTGCCTATCTTCTGGGGCCAGCTAAAGAGTCCTCTCCCCAGGTCACCATCCCTGGCTGTGCTGTCCCCACCCCAGGTAGATCTCTGAACTTAGGAGCCCACAGGCCGTGAAGCAGTGTCTTGAGGATTTGCCTGTGTTTGTCTCATCCACAATCTGGACACACGCAAAATAAGTCCACCCATCCTGGCATTTTCAACGCTTCTACAAGAGTTTGTGGGAGTGTGGCTCGGGCTCCTCTGCCTGCCCCAGCATGCCATGGCAGCCAGGCTCTGTCTGCAGTGTAGCAGAGACTCACCTTCCCTGCCCCCACCACGTCCATCCTGAATCCCACCACTCCTCTGCCCTGGCCACTGTCCTTCCACCCCCAGGGTCCCCCACATAGGTCTCTGGGCCTGTATCCTTGCTCCCTCCCCATGGTGAGCCCCCTGCTCCTTCCCCACCGCAGCCTCTTCCCACCATGAGTAGCCTGTTCTCATTCCCCAGCTGAAATGTCACCTTCTTAAGGGAGCTTTCCCATGACCTGGCTGTTTGCTCCAAGAACTTAAGACAATGTGAAGATGTCACGTCTTGGTTCATACATTTCCTGTGTGAACATCAGGAGGAAAGGGACCTGTGACTGTCCTCTTCCTTGGTATCTGAATGAGATGGGGTATGTGTGACCGGTGAACATGACCTGAAATAAATGTGAGGTTCTCTCTCAGCCTCAGCCTCCTGCCCTCTCCCTCACTGCAGCACCTTCCTCCACCTGCCCCCACCCCAGCTGCCTGAAATGGGCAAAAGTCTTGCCCCCAGAAACTGGGAGGAGGCTCAGGCTCATCACCCTCCCATTCACACTCACCCGGCTCTGCCCAGCCACCCACACAGCGCCTCCTCCCAACCGCCCTGCGGAGCCCCTCCCAGGTGCTTGTGGAGGAGCCACCAGCTCCCAGGTCACCAGACTAGCGCCACGCTATGGGGGGTCTGAGGCCCTGGGCCCGGTACATGCTCCTAGTTGTGGCCCACCTGCTGGCCATGGGGCTTGGGGCTGTGGTACTCCAGGCCTTGGAGGGCCCCCCAGCGCTCCAGCTCCAGACCCAGCTCCAGGCCGAGCTGGCTACCTTCCAGGCAGATTACGGGGCCTGCCTGCCACCTGGAGCACTGGAAGAGCTACTGGGCGTGGCCTTGAGAGCACAAGCCCACGGAGTCTCCAGCCTGGGCAACAGTTCTGAGGCCAGCAACTGGAATCTGCCCTCGGCCCTCCTCTTCACTGCCAGCATCCTCACCACCACGGGTAAGGCTGCCAGGCAGCCCAGTCGGAGCTGGCTCCTGAGGCCCTGGCTCCCTGAGGTCCCTGGGGGTGCAGCCCTTCCCCCAACCCCAAAGCCCTAAGACAGAGCCTAGCCCTATCAGGCCTGACATCACAACTGGGGCTCCCCATACCAACACACCCCAACTGGTGCCTCCACTTCAGCTGCCAGAAGGGGTGTGGCCTCCCCAGGCACCCTTTGAAATCCAGGAGAGATACTCAGATCCATGAGCCTGAGACAACACCAAAGGATGGATTATTGGATGGAGGGAGAAAGCACAGACCAGGATTACCAGCTCAGGAGGAGTATAGTGGAGGAATCCCCGATGAGCTGTTAGCCATGACAGGAGGCACAGCCATGAGGGTTGAAGGAATTCCTGGTTGAGGAAAACAGCATGTACTTAGCCCAGAGAAATGAGGCAATGGCCCTGGGTTTTTGTTTTGTCCTGCAAAGTGTCTGAATTATTATCATTATTAGGGTATGTGTGTGGTGTGTGTGTGTTTCTGGGGATCAAACTCTGGGCCTCACACCTACCTTCTTTTGGAAATTCAAGAAACAATTTATACTGAGTCTGAGTCCCTGCAAGGTAACATAGTGGTCCAGTATGTTACTGGTCCAGGTCCTGTCTCTAGGCAAAGCACATGCCCTCCAGCCTATCCTAGTCCCACCACTCACCTCTCCCTCTTATCTCACGGTCAGTTTCTGTGGGCATTGGAGTTTGCAACCTCTCAACTAGCTGATCCTGTTCTCCCAGCATGCTCTGCTCTGTCACCTCTCCCTGCCTTGCATGTGCTTCCCTGGCTCCAACTGACCTCTCTCATGCATGCTGCCTGATTGTAGTACTTTTGTGTCCACCTTCGAGACTGTTTTTCCTGTCTATCTCTCCAACCAAAAGTGAGGGCCCAGGTAGACTCAGATTCCAGCGCAAGACCCAGAACATAGAAAGATGTAATGCACTTTGGGGTGATGAAATAGTGGGTGATATTCCACTAGCTGTGGATTGGCAGTACAGGTTAAGGACAGAACTGAACAATCTCTTAGGAAGCCAGGATCAGGTTGGGGTTTCTCAGTGGTAAAACACTTGCCTACAGCATGTGTGAAGCTCTGGCTTCCATCACCACTACTGCAAAAGGGAAAGCCAGGATCTCCCTGGGGAAGGACAGCATTTCTGTGAATTGTCCCAGCTACAGATGGCCAAAGGGACCTTTTTCTTTTTTTTTGAGATGGGCTAAATTGCCTTAAATGGCCTCAACTTGCAATCCTCTTTCAGTCTCCTGAGTACCAGGGCTTGCAGGTCTGAGCCACCATGCCTGCCTGGCTAAGATTGTCTTCTTTAATCCTTTCATTTCCCAGAAAAACACGGCTCAGAGAGGTTAAGGAAGTTGACCTTAACCCACTGAAGCAGCAGAACCTGAAGCGTGCATGCAATTTCCGCCACTAGAGGGCAGCTTTCTATGGGAGACAATGAAAACAGTAAAGACCTCCAGCAGCCATCCCACTCAAGAGCTCACTGCCTGCTCTCTCTGTCTTCTCCAGGTTATGGCCACATGGCCCCACTATCGGCAGGAGGAAAGGCCTTCTGTGTGGTCTATGCATCCCTGGGGCTGCCAGCCTCCCTAGTTCTTGTGGCCACCCTGCGCCACTGCCTGCTGCCTGTGTTTAGATGCCCAGGTACCTGGGTAGCAGCCCGCTGGCAGCTGGCACCAGCACAGGCTGCACTGCTGCAGGCAGCAGGACTGGGCCTGTTGGTGGCCTGCATCTTTGTGCTACTGCCGGCACTGGTGCTGTGGGGTCTGCAGGGTGACTGCAGCCTACTGGAGGCCATCTACTTCTGCTTTGGCTCACTCAGCACCATCGGGCTGGGGGACTTGCTGCCCAGTCAAGGTCATGGCCTGCATCCAGCAATTTACCACCTTGGCCAGCTTGCACTTCTTGGTGAGTGTAAGAAGGGAAAAAGAGTCTGAACTGCAACTCCCATAAGCCACTGGGGGCCTGGGTTTCACAGGTGGGAGACCCTAACCCAGGGCATTGTTTGAAAGATACAGTAAAAGCCTGGTGGCATGGTTGAGAGAGGTGTGAGTGGAGCCAGGTGCCAGGGTAGGTCATCACCCTGGGAAGTGGGTGGGGAGCATTGTGGGCACCCCAAGAACTGCCCTAGCAACCTCTCTCTCCAGGTTACTTGCTCTTAGGGCTCCTGGCCATGCTGCTGGCGGTGGAGACCTTTTCAGAGCTGCCACAGGTCCGTGCCATAGTGAAGTTCTTTGGGCCCAGTGACTCGATGACCCCTGAGGACCAAGGTGGCATCCTGGGCCAGGATGAGCTGTCTCTGAGCACCCTGCCTCCTGATGCCCCAGCTGCGGGACAGGCACCAGCTTGCTGACAGGTGTCAGGTGACCGAGTTCAGCTCCTTTAAGATGGAAGATTCTGAGGAGACGGCCAGGGGTCCTTGGGGAGGAACCTGGAGATGGGGGCGGGGGGTGCCAGAACTTCATGTAATCGAGGGTTAAAGAAAATAAATGGCAACAGCTCCACTGTTTTCGTGCCTTCTTTCAAAATGGGACTTCACTCCAGGCATCACTCTTGAGAGGCCTGGTCATGCCTCAGTGTGTACCTGGGAGTCCCCGACCTGGTCTGCCAGGTCGCAGAGACCACATCACCCTGAGCCCCTTTTCCATTTGTCCCATCCCAAATTGTTCAGAGAAAGGTCCCACCCAGTGTGTCCTTGTCCTTGTCCAACTTTATTAGTCAAGAGAGAAACAGGAGGAGGGTGCGGTTGACAGTCCCCCGCCATCCCTCTCCCTCTCCCTCTTCCTCAGAGGCCTCCTGGGGGCCCTGCAATTGGGCAGATCTCTGTGAGGCGCCCCTGGAAGCCCGTGAACACGCGCACACACACTCATACCGACAAATAAATAACGTCCTGGCCGGCGCCACAGACCAGCAGCTCTGTCGGTCTGCCAGGGAGTCCAGCCGGCCGGTCTGATGCAGCGGTGCCAACAGCCTGGAGGCCACAGGCCTCATCCCAAGGGCTGGGTTCTCCCCAGCACAGGCGGCGGGAGGCGAGCAAAGCTGCGGGCCGGGAGGCAGGAAGACTCCGAGGCTGGGGAGGCCGGGAAGCAGGAAGACTCCGAGGCTGAGGAGGCCCGGGAGGCCGGGAGGCCGGGGAGGCCTGCCAGCCCGGGCAGCTCAGCTGAGTGCGCAGCGTTCGCGCCGGCTCAGCTGCCGGCTCAGCTTGCGGCGCCGCTGCTCCAGGCCGCGTGCCAGACGCTCGTCCTCCTCCAAGGCGCTGGCAGGGAAGAGGTTCAAGTCAGCCCAGCCTCGACTGACCCACGATCCACACCGGCGCCCTGGGTCCACTCCTGTTCCCCGTCCCCACTCACATCCGCTCCTTGTGATCCAGGTCCCGGACCAGCTCGTCGCGCTGGTTCACCAGCGACACCAGCTCCTCCAGCAGGAGCTGCTCCCGGTGCTGCTGCGCCTCGGTTTTCTGCCAGTCTGAGGGCAGAGTAGCCTGAGTCAGGAGTGCCCCAGTGGCCCTGTCCCGCCTCCAGCCCCGTTCAGCCCTGTTTCCCACCTTCGATGGCCAGCATGGCCCGCAGCTCCCGGCTCAGCAGCTCAAACCTCCGCTCCAAGTCCTGCTCCTCGATGCTGGGAAGCAGGATGCAGGCCAGGTAAGGAAAGCGCACAGGGTGGGAGTGCCCAGGGCTCTGAGGGCTCTGTGGCCCCATCCCCCCCACCCCCCCACCCCCATTCTCTTAGCCCTCAGGCTGATCTCAAAAGCATACCCCAGTCCCCATGGAGAATTCCCTTTTGTTCTGACTGGTCTCCAATTATTGAATATTTATGCTGTCCACGCCCATTTTTAAAATAAGAAACAACCCAGAAGGTATGTGGATGGAAGTATTAGGCTAAAATTGTTCTGAAAAAGTTATCCAAAATGTTACCAGGTGTGGTGGTGCACACCTGTAACCCCAGTGACAAGTTGAGGCAGAAGGGTTGGGAGTACAAAGCCAGCCTCAGCAACTTAGCCAAGGCTCTCAACTTAGTAAGACTCTATCTCAAATAAAATATATAAAGGGCTGGGATATGGCTCAGTAGCACCCCAGGGCTCAATCCCTGGCACAAAAAATAAATAAATAAATAAAAATTCCCCAATGCAAAAGGGAGGCAAAATCATCTCCACCATGGAGAATAATAGGGAGAGTTGCTTCTGACTCCACTTGGGAGCCTGCTCAGACCCCTCCAGGCCTGTTTTTCCTACTGAAAAGGCAGAGGATCACATTGGAGGACTTAGCTCTGTCCCTTCTGGGCCAAAATTTTCTCTGAGTCTTTGCTTTATCATTAATAAAAAGGTATGCTCTTTATACAGGAAATAAGCACAAAAAATTAATACAATGAGTGAACAATGGTTTTCAAACAGATTTTTCTTAGAAAGAAGAAAGCAGTAAATACCTCTAACTGAAGTAGCTAAGAGTCCCTCTGCTAGTCCTCCCTACGCCAGCTGGGGGCAGGGCTTGAGCTGGTGGGGTCTGGGTTGGTGGGGCAGCAGGCCCGCTGCTGGGACTGGTACTCACAGCAGCTGCAGCTGATCCTGCCTTCGGATGAGAGCATTCTTCTTGTTGACCAGGGTGAACCACTCCTGGATCAGCATCTCCTCCTGTAGCCTGTTGGCACCTGAATTAGGCCAGGACAGTCACTGGACATCTGCCAGTTAGAGCAGCACAGCTGGGGGTTGGGGGAGGGGTTTGCTTCCTTGTGGCATCCCTGAAGCCTGAGCTGTGTGCCTCCAGCCAGCTGCTCCCCACTTAGGGCTCAGCATGCCCAGCTATACAAAGGGACGATGACTCCAGCTGGGCCTACTCCCAGATCCTCCTAAGGCCGGAAGAAGCTGCAGGGCTGGTTAGATCTGGTGGTGTATGTTGAGGAGTGGACCCCAGAGGCAAGCCCCACCTGACTCCATGAGGCTCCTCAGCTGCTTCTCCACCTCAGCAGCCCGCCCATCTATCTGCCTCTGCTCCTGTTCCAGGGCCTGCAGCTCTGCACACACATACTGACTGGTGTCCTGGAAGCGTTGCTGGGGGTGGAAAGGGGATCAGGGAATAGGTGGGCTCAGTCCAAGCTCTGCCTAGGAAGTTCCCACCCACCAGTTTCCCCCATTTAGCCCTACATACCAGTCCAGCCTCCTCCCCTGGACTTGGGGGTAACTCCTCCAATGGGGTACTGCCACCTGTAGACAGAGATGGGCTAAGGCATCTCCAGCCAACACATGCCCCAGGAAATCCTCAGCCCAGGATTTGTGAGCTGCTGAGCTGAGCTGGGGGTCACCCCACCCCCAAACTACTCACCAGGGAGCTGCTGCAGGGCAGTGGCTGTGGGTGGGCCAGGGGTAGGGCTGGGGTCAGGGCTTGGGCTTTCCTGTGGAAAAAAGGGCCAGTGAGGGTTGGGAGGGGCTCCCTGACAGCCCCAGCCTGGGCCAGCCAGAGCCTCTCACACAGAGGGAAAGCAGAGTCCACTCTCCCAAACCCTGCTACCCAGCACTTTCTACAGTTCCCAACCACCTTCTTTTGGGGAAAGTACCTCCTTAAGCAAAGGCCAGGCCTCCACTCCCAGCCCACGGTCCTGGCCCATCCACACCAATCCTCCAAGCCTCCAAGTCCTCATTCCTGGGACTAGGATGATTACCAATCCCTCCATGGAGCACCCCCAGGCCACCTGACTCCTGTCACCCAGGGCTGGCACCCTCATCATGCCAGAGCCCCTGGAAGTGACACTGAGCTGCCCCGATGCAGCCCCATCTTTGGATATAGGCCATCCTGAGCCAGCACCTCCATCTCCCAGCCAAAAGGGGGCACCCTCCCACCTTATTATCCGTTCCTACACCCAGAATCCAGGTTGGCTGGACCTGAAAATTTTACCCTGGAAGTCCAGGGTGATGTGTCTCACTCCTGATAGTCATCCTGCCGGGACGTCAGCCCTGGGGGCTCCCACTTTAGCTCATCTGACATTCTAGTTCCTTGACAATGCTGCTCTGACCACCTTTCTGTTTCACAGGGTGGAGAGAAGGTGTCCAGTCCCCTCACTGTTTTCCCCAGGCTGCAACCTCTCAGAAGCAGCCCAGGACATTTTTGGACCGGGTACCATCCTCTAAAGCCTGGGTCAGTGGTGGCTTCCGCACCAGCCACCACCATGCCCTGCCTGCAACTCTACCCCCATGCCACAACTGAAAGGTCTTCCCAAAACCTTCATTGATGGCGTTATTCTCTTTGCACCTCTTCTCAGTCCTCAGCCTCACTGCCAAAGCCTGTGGGTGGCTCTAGCCTCAATTCCCCTACCATCCTGAGTCCCATCTAGATGACACCATCTGGCCACAGTGATGGACTTTCAGTTCCCTAAAAAGTACTCTCAGCATGAAATGGGCCTCCATCTTAAATTGCCCTAAACCAACTGGACACCTTCATGACTCAGCTCAGCTTGCCTCCTGCTGAGGCCCCCTCAGGTTCCCACATTCCTTTCTGCCTACCTCCTGAAGCCTGTCCTGGTCCCCAGTCTAGGCAGATGCTTCCTTCAAGGGCCTTTCCCATGACAGCTTTGATCCTACCCACACTTTACCATAGCTGTGCATGTCTCCCTGACCAAAGGGCTCTCCTTCAGATAGGGCTGGGCCCTATCATGCACCCAGGGTATACTAATTAATAATAATATCAAATAAAAATTAATAATGACAAATATCTATCAAAAATTCGAGTTGGCACTGTAAAGCACATTACTTTGCTTTCTCGTTTAGTTTACCTGACGACCTGGTGAAGTGGGGACCCTTACCACCCTCACTTTACAGATAAGGAAACTGAGGGTCAGAGATGAAGCCCATATGAGGCATGATTTCACCCAAGTCTTACTTCCAAGCTTGAACTCCCACTGGGATTTTTTTCTGTGTGTGTCCTTATATGTAAAATGGGGAGAAACCCCAGCTCCCTAGGACGTAAGAGTTGCAGGGCTCCAGAATGGCATCTAAGGGAACACGGAGCTCCCTTTTTTACAGTACCCTAAGTAGTACCTGCAGGCTTCTTTTCAAAGGGCTTTCATACCTTTGTTTCTTGGCCCCAAGGAAAGAGCACACAGAGCTTAAATATGTTTGCCCAGGATGGCACAGTGCATCCACAGAGCTGGGCCAGCAGGGGGCGCCACCTAAGAGCTCAGGTTCAGAACATAGGTTCATACTCTTGGCCTCTTCATCTCTCTGAGCTTTTCCATGTTCCAAGGTGGAAAATGGGGTAGTTATACTTCCCTGGAACCGGCACTGTGAGGGGTCATGTGGCAGGCCAGCAATTAGGAGGGGGCTCAACCGACAAGGCAGGCAGAGGCAGGAAGAGGAGAAGACCAACCACAGCAGGAATTGAGTTTACTCATGCCTGCGCTGATGGGAATTCCAATGCTTCTTCCTCATGTCTGACCCGGATTCCTCTTTCTATACCCTTAATGTGGCCCCTCCAACAGGAAGCCTAGCAGGGCTGCACCAGAAACATCTGCTTTTCTC